CAGTCTTCACATCCATTTGTGCCAGTTCAAGGTCGAACTGAGCCACCATGGCAAGCAACATTCGGATGGATCTGTGCTTCACAACAGGGGAAAATACATCATTGAAGTCGACACCTTCTTTCTGAGTGAAACCCCTTGCGACTAATCTTGCCTTGTACCTCTTCGACATTACTCCTTCAATTCCTTCCTTAACTTTGAAAATCCACTTACAGCTGACTAACCTTGCCCCAACAGGTTTCTTGATTAGTTCCCAAGTGTGATTATCATGAAGAGATTTCATCTCATCATGCATGGCCTTTAGCCATTCAGTCTTCATTCGACTCCTTATAGCTTCCTTATAATCTCTAGGTTCTTCGTCTAGAACTTCACTTGCAGAGATTAAGGCATAAGCTACAAGATCTGCATACCCAAGTCTCTGAGGTGGTTTTATGACTCTTCTTTGCCTATCTCTCGACAATAGGTAGTCATCAACAGTTTCCTCAATATCATCAGAATCTTCTGTTTCTTCTTCGACTTCATCTGGGATACGCATTTCAGCATCAACATGCTTCACCTCAACAGGAATCTCTACCTGTTCCAGCTCTTCGTCAACATCATCAGTTTTCTTGAAAGCCATTTCAGTTTCATTGAAAACTACATCTCGACTGGTGATACATCTCCTGTGACCTGGCTCTAGGCACCATAGCCTATAAGCTTTCACTCCTTCAGGGTATCCCATAAACATGCATTTCAGAGCTCTAGGTTCGACCTTGTCTTGCCTAATGTGAGCATAGGCTACACAGCCAAATACTCTTAGTTTGTCGAGATCTGGTGGATGTCCCGACCAAACTTCTTCAGGTGTCTTCATATCTAACGCTGTCGAAGGACATCTGTTTATCAGATATGCTGCTGTCGAAACAGCCTCAGCCCAAAACACCTTCTTTAATCCCGCACTAGTCAACATGCATCTAACTCTTTCCAAAATAGTTCGATTAAACCTTTCAGCCAAACCATTTTGTTGTGGAGTACCTGCGGTAGTTCTGTGCCTTGCAATACCAGAGGCAACACAAAAACTGTCGAACGCCTCATTGCAAAACTCAAGGCCATTGTCGGTTCTCAACCTCTTTACCTTTCTGCCAGTTTGATTTTCGACAAGAGTCTTCCAACTTTTGAAATTCTCAAAAGTTTCATCCTTAGTCTTCTGGATGAATACCCATAACTTTCTGGAATAGTCATCTACTATGGATAGAAAATACTTTGCTCCTGAATGTGATGGACACCTTGCAGGCCCCCAAAGATCAGCATGGATGTAGTCAAGGGATCCATGTGTTCTTTGTTTTCCTTTGTTGAACTTCATTCTACAGGACTTTCCAAGTACACAGGGTTCACAAAACTTCAGCTTTTCGACTTTATCTCCACCAAGCAGATTTTGTTTCCCTAATTCGACCAGACCCCTTTCACTGACATGGCCCAATCTCATGTGCCAAATTTCTGTCTTCGACAAAGGTTTCGTGGATGCAACATTTGTCGAACCACTTACAACTTCAGCCTCAAGGGTATACAAGCCTTGTTTCTTCACGCCTCTCAAGACTTCCTTCGACCCTTTCATGACTCTCAGGATACTTTTCTCTCCTTGAAACACATATCCTTTCTTGTCGAATTCACCAAGAGAAATCAAATTTCTCTTCAAATCAGGTACATACCTGACTTCAGTCAACAATCTTATTGACTCATCATGGAGCTTGAATCTCACAGATCCAACGCCTGCAATCTTGCAAGCTTTGTTGTTTCCCAGCAATACAGATCCACTATCTTGATCACATAATTCCTCGAACAAGTCTTTGTTTGGAGTCATGTGCCAAGTGCATCCAGAATCCATAATCCACTCCTTCGACGAGTTGTTGCTTGAAACCACAAGAACATCAGATGATTCGAAATCATCTTGGACAATAGCTGCATTGCCATTATCCTTACCTCCATGATCTTTCAGGCGTTCAGGGCACACCTTTCTTGTGTGACCTACTTTCTTACAGTGATAGCATCTAATACCAGATGCATCACCACTATAAGACTTCGACTGATGTTTACCTTTCCTCTTGTCGAATTTTCCTTTAACAGCCAAACCTTCACCAACCGTCGAAGGTTTATGCTCCTTACGTTCGTTCAAGTCCTTAGAGTACAGAGCTGATTGAACTTCTTCAAAGGTCAGGGACTCTCTTCCATACAAGAGGGTTTCTTTGAAGTGAGCATGTGATCTGGGCAAAGCGCACAACAATAACAGCGCTTGATCTTCATCATCAATCTTTACATCAATATTTTCAAGATCAAGAATCAGCTTGTTGAACATATCCAACTGCTCAGCCAACACTTTGTCTTCAATCATCTTGAATGAATACAAAGCTTGCTTCAGGTAGAGTCGATTTACCAGAGATTTGGTCATATACAAACTTTCAAGTTTCACCCATAACCCTGATGCCGTCGTCTCCTTTGATACCTGTCGAAGAACCTTATCACCAAGGCTCAACAAAATTGCGCTGTGTGCTTTCTCGATCATGGCCGTCTTCTCTCTTTCTGTTAACGCAGCGTCCATCGCCGTCGCTCCCTTCAACGCTTCCAAACAACCCTGCTGAACCAGTAGGGCTTTCATCTTTAAGCGCCATAGACCGAAATCATTCACTCCGGTGAACTTTTCAATCTCATACTTTGTTGAAGGCATCTTCTCCACGCTCACCGCACCAATTTGTTGTGAATTCAATGCCAATAACAAAGTATAGAATAAGGGAGGAATAAGGAACAAGGAAGAAGAAGAACACAATAATTGGTTATAACTGCTATTCTTTTACTTTCTCTTAGGAAACAAGATTACAAGTTTACAAGAATAACAAATAACCCTCTCACCCTATATTAGGATTTGCTGTGATGGCAATGATGAGAGACTAGTATGCTATTTATAATAAAACCTAACATACTAACTAATGGGCTTTTTCCACAAGGCCCATTATACAAGCTAACTTAACAAACAAGCTAACTTAACAAATTAGGGTTTAAACACTAAAACCTAATTCGACAAGCATCCTACATGCTAGAACCTTCTTCGACTACAGCAAGTACTTCGACCAACTAGAGTTCGATCCAAAATCCCACATTTCTCAATTGATCTGGTTCATGGGCATATGAAATACATCCAAAAACTCTAAGGTGCCAGATTGAAGGTATTCTTCCACTTCAACCTCCTTCAGAAGTCTTTTCTTGTACACTCCTTGTAGGACACCTGTTTAAAATATAAACCGCAGTAGCAACAACTTCTGCCCAAAATTCTTTAGGCATATGTTTGGCCTTCAACATGCATCTCACCATATCCATGATTGTTCTATTCTTTCTTTCAGCAACTCCATTTTGTTGAGGTGTGTATCTTGTTGTTAGTTGATGCTTAATCCCATGTTGCTCAAAGAAACTTGTACCAGCGAGGTATTCTTGGCCTTTGTCTGTTCTCAATGCTTTGATTCTTCCACTTCAACCTCCTTCAGAAGTCTTTTCTTGGACACTCCTTGTAGGACACCTGTTTAAAATATAAACCGCAGTAGCAACAACTTCTGCCCAAAATTCTTTAGGCATATGTTTGGCCTTCAACATGCATCTCACCATATCCATGATTGTTCTATTCTTTCTTTCAGCAACTCCATTTTGTTGAGGTGTGTATCTTGTTGTTAGTTGATGCTTAATCCCATGTTGCTCAAAGAAACTTGTACCAGCGAGGTATTCTTGGCCTTTGTCTGTTCTCAATGCTTTGATTCTACAACCACTTTGTTTTTCTACAAATGTCTTGAATGTCTTAAAGGCATCACAAGCCTCTGATTTTTGTTTCAAGAAATACACCCAAGTCTTTCTACTAAAATCATCAATAAAAGTAATAAAGTACTTACAACCACCTGGTGTTGGTATTTCTATTGAACACATGTCTGAATGAATTATCTCTGGCAGCTTCTTCGCTCTCCAAGACATTCCAATTGGAAATGAATCTCTATGCTTCTTTCTAATCTGACAAGTCTCACATACTCCATTTGGAATATTCACAATAGGCAATCCTGAAACATATTCTTTTCTCGACTGGTAATTCAAACCAGAAAAATAAAAGTAAGGAATAATAGAACTCAAGCAAGAAAATTTTCCATGTTGAATCTTCAAAGTAAATAGACGGCTCAGTGTCATTCTTAACTTTGTGATAAGTCTTTCATTTCTGTCAATTAATGTGCAAAAACCATTGTGAATCTGCATGTTGTAACCTTTCTCCGACAGTTGTCTCATACTCATTATATTATGATGAAGACTAGGAGCATATAAAACATCTTCAATAAAGTTTTGTGATCCGTCTTTCAACCTGATAGAAATTCGACATTTTCCCAAAATTGGAATATTTGAATTATTTTCAAACTTCACAGTAGATTTTACCGTTTCGTTTAGAGAAGAAAATAATTCCTTTTTCCAGCACATATGATTACTACACCCAGTATCCAGATACCATATATCATCTTCTTCAGAAAATGTATTACTGGCCAAAAATAAATTTTGTGGATTTTCAAAGTACTCACCAGTATTTTGGTATAACTTTCTGTCACATTTGCCTGATGTTTGTATCTGCAATTAGCTGCTTTGTGTCCAAACTTTCCACAGTAATAAGAACTATAATTTGTCCTTTTTTTTATTGTAGCTACCTCTTCCTCGACCACGATATGTAGATCCAAAACTATGACCACCTCTTTCTTGATGTGCTGGATTGAAACCGTTGAAGTTGTTGTCTCTCTATTAGTTAAAGTTACCACATCCTTTTCCACCATAATTTCCTCGACTTTTGCCTCTATAATTTCCTCTTCCTCTGTTGTAATTATTTTGACCCTCTTTCTTCTACAGTACGACTTGACTCAGAAGTGTTGTTGAAATTTACCTGACTCTTGAGAGCTTCTTTTTTTTACCACTTTCCCAGTCTTCTCTAACATTCTATTGACATGACTTTCAATGCTTCCCTATAACTCTGCTACAGACAAGGTGGCTGTGTCGTGTGATTCAATTATCGTAGTCATCACATGGTCAAACTTCATCGACATCGTACGTAGAATTTTTTCTACCACTTTACTATCTGGAATATCTTCTCCATATACTTTCATCTTGTTGACGAGATTTAAAACACGAGAAAAATACCGTTCTACTGTTTCTGAATTAGACATTTTGTACCTTTCATATTCTCTATGCAACGATTGTAATTTGAACTTCAGAGCCTTCTCAACTCCTTTATCTAACAACTTCAATATGTCACATGCTTCTTTAGTCGTCTTGGCATTTGCAATTTTTTCAAATACTGAGTAATCAATTCCTTGATAAATTTGTGAAAGTGCCAACTGGTCCTTTTTACGAACGACTTCATCAGCTCCTCGTTGTAAACCATCCACAAAGCTCCAAACATTGTGAACTTTTAGATTCGTTGTCATCAAAATTTTCCAGTAATTAAAATCTAACTTTGCGTTAATTTTGAATCAAACCAGACAAAACTGTAATTATTTGCTATATCTCTCTCAAAAAATACTCCTAACACTCCTAACCTGCTCTGATACCAATTTAATATTTAATGGGATATAATAAAACTCAATCAACTAAAACTCAATCAACCAAGATAAAGTAATAATTCTCAAAACTCTTTATTTATATAGGCCTTGGATTACATATTCTTAGTGATTAAGAAACTTAAATAATTAGTGGCTAAGAAACTTAGTTAGAAAGTACTTTAAACGGTGATAATATCCACTAGCTTGCTTTCTATAGTTTAATTTTACGTTGAGACACATTTAGCTTCTAGATTTTCCTATAGTTAATATTTATCTCAATACTTCTAGATGCCACTTGATTTAACTCTAAAATCATGTGTTAACCACACAAACACAACAACTGCACGCAACAGAAAACGCAGAAGAATTGTGTAAACGTGGAAACTAGAATAAGCATAGAAAGGCGTGCGAATCGAAGAAGAGAAAGAACGAACGCTTACCTCAGCGCCAATTTTTGGCTTTCTCATTGTTTCGTCATGCTTAAAGAGGCGTCAGACTGTTTCCGGTAAGTAAGTCTCGCTTCTTCTTTCTTTGATTTCCTCGGTCTTTTCCTTTTCTTCTGTTAAAACAAGGGAGAGTCTATCAAAGCAAAAATGCAGGCGAATCAGAAAGATGAAGACGAAGCGAAGAGAGTGAGGTCGCGATGTTGTGATGTTGAAGAAGACGGAAGCGAGAGTGAATGAGACGAAAAGAGATGATGTAAAATTAAGCTTCTCAAATAAACTTTTGTTTTGATAAAGATAAATCATGATTGATAAAGAAGGTAAAGATTTTTGATCAAGCTCAAGGCATCTATGGACAAAGTCTTCGGTTCAAACTCTTACCAACTTTCAAGGTATAATGATAATACTTACTTTGAACTTAATACATAGATACTCAATGGTGAAAAAAAAGTTTTAAAAATCCTTACTCAAGTTTTTTCTAAGTTAAAATTCATTTTTTACTTGAGTGCAATCGATTTGCATATTAGTGCAATCGATTGCATGCTTCAATTTTTCAGATCTTTTGCTACTGTTTCTCAGTGCAATCGATTTGCATAGCAATCGATTACATGCTTAAAATTTTCAAAACTTTTGCTACTGTTTCTCAATGCAATCGATTTACATTGCTTGTGAAATCGATTGCACTCAATCAAATTTTGCTACTGATTTCACACGCAATCGATTTACACTCATGTGCAATCGATTACACACTTAAAACTTTTAAAAATATAGCTGTTGAAACCCCGTGCAATCGATTGCATGCTGCACGGTTTTGAAAAACAGCAGCTTTGCACATGCCTGTTCATAATACCTTTTCATGAAAATCTTTCACTCAATCTTGGCAATTGTTCATGATTCATTTACAGAACTTTATGATGTTTCAAAAAGGTGCTATGAACATATAAATACTCATTTTCAAAATCATTTTCAACACCTATTCCAAATATATTTTCTGAATTTTCAAAATACAAACTCAAGCTTTTCTTCACTTTCATACATAAGTTTTCTACACACTTTCACATATTGTTAACCAGAAAACTTTGAGCATTATATCTTGGGTCATTGTACATTATTATCATTGGAAGAAAAGATCATTCATTGATTAAATCACTCTAAGTGATCATTACTACTCAACTCACTCGAAATCAAATATTGATAGATACTTACTTATTTTTTCAGGATTGTTGGAAATAAGTTTAAGTGGTTTTTTAAATCTTGTCTTTCCAGGATTGTTGGATACAAGTGTAGTCACTTTGAGAGGATTGTTCTTATTGTTGACATAGTGAAAATCCAAGAGGATTGTTCTTGGTCCAAGAGGATTGTTCTTGGTTTTTTTGGTAGTTCTTGTTTAAGTTTGCCACAATAAGGAAATCTCTTTCATGTTGAAAGGGGACTGGAGTACTCTCAGACTGTGAGGGGAACCATGATATATCGTTCGTGTCTCTTTATTTTTCTGCACTTTAGTCTTTCCTAAACTCACCATAATCTAGAAAAATAATATCCATCATCACTAAAACCAGAATTTTTTAAAGTACCTAATTCACCCCCCCCCCTCTTATGCGCACTTCGTACTTACAATTGGCATCAGACCGGGTTATAGGTAACCTGTTCCTAAAAGATCTAGAATGGCTTTCGCAAATCAAAATCCCGTTTTCAGAGATGGTGGTAGTAACAACAAGTCTTCTCTATTTTGTGGTGAATATTTTGACTTCTGGAAAATACGCATGAAGACACATCTAGAAGCACAAGGAGAAGAAATATGGGATGCCGTCGAGAATGGTCCATTTATCTCTATAACGGTAATCAATGGTGCTGACTCATCAAAGCCTAAAACTGCTTGGGACGAAGATGATAAGAAGAAAGTTCTCTATGATAAAAAGGCAATAAACCTTCTTCAAGGTGCACTTAGCATGGATGAATTCTTTCGTGTCTCGGCATGCAAAACAACAAAAGAAATCTGTGATACCTTGGTACAAACTCATGAAGGAACGGTTGAAGTAAAAAGATCAAGACTAAATACCCTAAGTCAAGAATACAAATTATTTCGAATACAGCCCGGAGAAACCATTCTTGACCTACAAAAGAGGTTTGTGCACTTGACAAATCATCTAAGTGCTCTTGGTAAAACTTTGACGAATGATGAACTAAATCTGAAAGTACTTAGGTCCTTAACTAGGGAATGACAACCAAAGGTAACGACAATCTCAGAAAAGAAAAGTCTTTTCTCCATGACATCCGCAACATTGTTTAGGAAACTTCAAGAATATGAAACAGAACTCGGAAGACTTGAAAAACATGAAAATCAAGAGAAGAAATTCAAGAATATTGCTTTGAAGATAGATTTCAAGGAAGTTGAAAAGGAAGACAATCCAGAAGAAGATGAAAATTTCATGCTTCTTGTTAAAAGGCTCAGTAAGTTCTTTGGTTGAAATGACAAATCCTTTTCTCATTCAAAAGGAAAGAAACAATTCAAGAAAAAGGAAGCTTCCGCATCAACACAAGAAGTCACATGTTATGAATGTGGTAAGCAAGGTCATATCAATCCGGATTGTCCTAAACTCTCCAAGAAAGGTGGCTTCAAAAGAAAAAAGGGATTCAAGAACAAAAAGGCCTATGTTGCATGGGAGGATAATGAAATAAGTTCCTCATCTGATTCCGAGAGTGATGAAAGTGCAAATCTAGCATTGATGGCCTCACACCATTCTGATGATGAAGACAATGAGGTTAGTAATGAATTTTATCTTTTTGATAGTGATGCACAAGGTGTTATATATGAACTATTGAATGAATGTAAAATTCTGTATAAAACTATTTCATCACAAAAGAAACAAATTTCATCCTTAGAAGAAAAATGTGAATCGATGGAAACAGATTTCAAAGAAGAAAAACAAAAATTAAGTGATGAACAAAAACAAAATTTTGTATGCAAAAATTGTGAATCACTCTCTTTCCAAATTGTCCAATTAAAAAGATTAATTGAAAGATATGAAAAAGGCCAAATTGGATTGGAAGGTGTTCTTAGCCAACAAAGATACTCCAATGATAAAAGTGGACTTGGATATTCAAAGTTTTCAAAATCAAGTTCTAATAAAACTATCTTTGTTAAAGCTAGTGATCAATCATCCAAAGAGAAAGTGAATATACCTAAAATAGTTCATCACTGTCCTAAAAAGAAAACATTTCCTAAGAAGAAATCTTATCCTTCTAGATATAGAAGTAACTTTGAACCTACTTGTTTTTATTGTGGTATTAAAGGTCATACACCTAATGCTTGTTATGTTAGAAATTTTAGTGTGGCAAGTGGACATTTTGTGTGGGTAAAGAAAGACACTAATTACGAAGGACCCAAAGCAACTTGGGTACCTAACAAAGCCTAATTTATTTTGCAGGTATGCTTGAAGACCACATGCAATCTTTGGTATCTTGATAGTGGTTGTTCAAAGCATATGATGGGAGACATAAACCAATTTTCAAATCTAGTGCTAAAGGCCAAGGGTTTTGTCACTTATGGAAACAATAATAAGGGAAGAATCCTTGGAAAAGGCAAGGTTGGTGCTCCACCTTTCACATCCATTGAAGATGTTCTTTATGTTGAAGGACTAAAGCACAATCTTCTTAGTATTAGCCAACTTTGTGACAAAGGCTTCAAGATCAAGTTCACCAAGGATGAATGCTTGATAGAAGACGAAGTCACACATGAGGTTATACTTAAAGGTAAAAGAATCAATAATATATTCATGATTTCCCTTGATGATCCATCTTTGAAGGTAAAATGTCTCATGGCGAACAACGATGATTCATGGCTGTGGCACAAAAGAATTGCTCATATTCACATGGAACACTTGAATAGACTAATCAAGCATGATCTTGTCATTGGGTTTCCTAAGAGAAATTCCGTCAAAGATAGACTCTGCGGTGCTTGTCAAAAGGGGAAACAAACAAAATAAACTTTCAAATCTAAGAATGTGGTGTCTACTACAAAGCCACTACAATTGTTACATATGGACTTATTTGGTCCATCAAGAACAAGAAGTTTCAGAGGTAATGTATATGCTTTGGTTATTGTTAACGATTTCTCTAGATATACTTGGACATTATTTTTAATGCATAAAAGTGATGCATTCAAGGCGTTCAAGAAGTATGCTAAAAAAATTCAAAATGAGAAGTCTCTAACAATTGCCTCCATAAGAAGTGATCATGGCGGAGAATTTCAAAATGCTCTATTTGAAGAATTTTGTGGAGAACATGGAATATCTCACAACTTCTCGGCACCAAGGACTTCTCAACAAAATGGAGTGGTAGAAAGAAAGAATAGGTCTCTTGTGGAACTTGCTAGAACGATGCTTAGTGATTCAAATCTTCCAAAATATTTTTGGGCGGATGCGGTGAGCACGACATGTTTTG